TCTAGCATCAGCAATCAGACAGCAAAAAGAAATCAAAGGCATCAAAATTGGCAAAGATGAAGTCAAGCTTTCTCTTTTTGCACATGATGTGATATTATACATGGAAAACCTGACAGACTCCACCAAAGAGTCTACAACTGATACATGAATTCTACTAGAATTCTACTAGAACTGATAAATGAATTCAGCAAAGTCACGGGATACAAAATCAATGTACAGAAATCAGTTGCATTCTTGTACACTAATAATGAAGCAACAAAAAGACAAAGAAACTGATCACATTCACAATTGCACCAAGAAGCGTAAAATACTTAGGAATAAACCTGACCAAAGATGTCAAAGATCTATATGCTGAAAACTATAGAAAGCTTATGAAGGAAACTGAATAAGATATAAAGAAATGGAAAAATATTCTGTGCTCATGTATTGGAAGAATCAATATTGTTAAAATGTCAATACTACCCAAAGCTATCTACACATTCAATGCAATCCCAATCAAAATTGCACCAGAATTCTTCTCGAAGCTAGAATAAGCAATCCTAAAATTTGTATGGAACCACAAAAGACCCTGAGTAGCCAAAGTAATATTGAAGAAGAAGACCAAAGCAGGAGGCATCACAATCCCAGACTTTAGCCTCTACTACAAAGCTATGATCATGAAGACAGCATGGTATTGGCACAAAAACAGACACATAGACCAATGGAATAGAATAGAGACTCCAGAATTGGACCCCCAAATGTATGGTTAAATGCCTCCTTTTCCAGGGCTTACCATCAGTCAGTCTCATTTTTCCCATCCATTCCCATTCTATCCTTACACTGTCTCCCTGTCTTCCCCTCTTCCAACATTTACTCAGTTGAGTATTTTTTTTTTCCTTACTTATACCAGGGGTCAGTTAGCAAACCTTTTCTATAAGGGTCAGGTAGTAAGTATTTTTAGCTTTGTGAGCCATACAGGCTGTGTCCCAGCTACTCAGCACTGCCATTGTAAGCACTAAATCAGCCACAGAAGATAGATAAATGGGCATGACTGTGTTTCAATAAAATGCTAGTCAGTGAAATTTGAATTGCACAGTATATTTACGTATCACAAGCTATTCTTTTAATTTTTTAAAACCACTGAAGCATGAGTGGCTCAGTTGGTTAAGCATCCAGCTTCAGCTCAGATCATGATCTCATGGTTTGTGGTTTCAAGCCCCACATCAGGCTCTGTGCTGACAGCTCAGAGCCTGGAACATGTTTTGCATTCTGTGTCTCCCTCTCTGCCCCTCCTCTGCTTGTCTGTGTGTGTGTGTGTGTGTGTGTGTGTGTGTGTGTGTGTGTGTGCGTGTGCGCACGCGCTCTCAAAAATAAATAAACAAAAAAAAAACTGAAGCATGTGAAAAGCAGTCTTAGCTTGTGGTTTGTATTAAAGCTGGCAATGGGACAGATTTTACAACCACAGGCTATAGTTGGCTAATCCCTGCTCTATAGGAAACGCTGTAGGTTTCAGGTAAAGCTAACTAACCAGCAATGTTATTTGTTTGGCCTACACAGTATGTTAAACAAAAATGTATCAGTATTTTGGTTTAGGGTGTTTTTCACCTTCTCTTTAAAAAATCAAAAGATTTGAAAACCTTAAGAAGCATTCACCTTTGGCAATTATTAGCTAGTGTTAAGTAAATGGGATATGTGGTCCCAGTGTACCATAGGATATATTTCCAGCTTTTTTTTTTTTTAACCTGGTATGCTACTCATGTATATTACCTGCTTGGCCTCCTATTGGTATATATGTTTGTAGCCTCCATTTGATATTAAACTGAGTATATCTTTAAGGATCAGTCCACCCAGTCCATACTGATTCTCTCTGTCAACCTTCTTGATTAACCCTAACTCCACCAGTCTTTCCCTCTCAGATTTTCTATAGCTCTAACTAGTTTGAACTTCTCTGTGTATGTTATTATTTTTATACTTACAAAAAAGGATATGAGGGTTTTACAATATTAAAACACATAAAATAGGATACTATAAGTTAAGTAGATTATCTGCAACTCTTATTATCTAAAATAATTTTGTTACTAGTATTTGGCTCTGAGTTTCTTCTCCACTAAGATAAAAAATTACTTAGTGGCATATATTTTCATTATCTAATAAAGGGAAGTATTGAAGGTTTTCTGGAGGAAAGTGTTTTTCCTGACACTGAAATCTGGAACAAATTGGTCCTGTGTTTGCTTTATGTAAGGAATATTCTCTCTCTCTCTCCGTCTCCCTCTCCCTCTCCCTCTCCCTCTTTCTTAGTGTGTGTGTGTGTAATTTAAAATTTTGTTGTATGTAGTTTATTAAACTGCAGTCTTATAAAAGAGTACAGGAACCCTGGCGGTTGCTTGAGTACCTGGAAGACTTGGATTAAAGACCAGTTCCACCACTTCCTAGATATATAACCTTTATCAAATTGGATCGTCTGCCTGAATCCTTTTTCTCGTCTGTAAAGGAGGGATAATAACAGTACCTACCTCAAAGGATTCTTATAAGGGCCAAATAAATGATGCGCAGGAAGGGCTAACTCCATGCCTAACACGTTGAAAACCTTTGATAAAATGCCCAATTACATAGAAGATATGAGACTAATTACAATGTTACAGAGCATATCTGTGGTTATCCTAAGTTAACCTGGTCTAGCAAGAGTACAGTTCTTGTGGTCTTAAAGTATAAGGTTAAAACTCAAACACACCAGAAGTGAAGTAGTAACAGCCAGTTCATTTCTCCCTCAGGCTCCTTCTTTTCAAAAGGGCATAGGTCTTAACCAAGTTTTTGATGAGTGGTGTATTGAAGATAATTTACTACCAAAGATTCTTAATGGGCTTCTTTTTAAAAATTTCCATTAGCTATCAGATGTACAGGTGATAGATTTTATTTACTGTCATGTGATGTTAGGAGTCTGGTTTCTTTACTCCCCTACCCTGACATCAGGCTCATCATTAAATAAGGATACAAATTAATTGTTTTTCCTAAAAGAAACACAAGCAGTATTTTTCTAATCTGTTCAAGTACTTAATAATTACCATAATCTGATCCCAAGGTTGTGTACTTGGAGGTACCAAATGAAGCTAATGTCTTTAGGGTAAAGCAGATGTCTTGTTTCAAATTGCAATGCTGTCATTTAACAGTTGAGGAGACCTTGGGCAAATTACCTAACCTTTCTAATACTTAGTTTTGTTGCCTATAAAAATAAGGATATGTTTCTACTTCATAGAATTGAGG